GGGGGGGGGGGGGAACGTGCAGATCTGTCCTCACAGAGGAGGGAGAGCTTCTGCCTGAATAAAACTTGATCTTATATTTATTTATTTATTTATTCTTTAGATTTGTGTCCCGCCCTCCCTGTCGACAGCATCATTAGGACGAGGCATCTAGTAAGCAATGTAACGGGACTAGGAACTGCAGAATTGCATCCAAGTGAGATGGGGGGGGGGATTTGTGTCATTCCAATGAGCAGCTGGCTGGGGTGGCCTTGTTAACACACTCCGCTAAGCCAGATGCTGGAGACCGGGGTGAGGGACGTTTCCTTCTCAAAACAAACCCTGAACCATCTTGACTTGGGAAGACCGAAACAAGGGGGCAGGCCATGAGTCCCCGCTTTGATGTTTCTTCAGGGCAAAGGCCAGACGAGCTCGTGACACCGACTCCCGAGGGGGACATACTTCAAACAACAGCCCATGGGGGGGGGGGGAGTGATAGATAGGAGATTTCCTGATGGATCCAATATGGGGCTGTATTTACACAACGGTTTGGTGGGAAAGCAGCGAGCAGGATACTGAATGCGGAATTTGCGATCCTGGGAATCTCGGCTCTCGTTTCAAAAATGCAAAGTCTCTCACCCCCCAAAAAGTGCAAGGGCAACTTCTGGTGAACTGCAGGCCACTGCCACGAATGCATCAACCTTCTGTGAAGTGAGACTGGTGGTCTGTCTAATGCTGTTTTTACTTTGCAAAAAGAAATCACATGAACGCATCAACACATGAGGCTGCCTTTTACTGAATCGGAACCTGGGTCCATCAAAGTCAGTATTGTCTACTCAGACTGGCAGCCGCACTCCAGAGTCTCAGGCTGAGGTATTTTCACGTCACCTCCTGCCTGGTCCTTTTAACTGGAGATGCCGGGGACTGAACCTAGGACCTCCTGCATGCCAGGCAGAGGCTCTTCCACTGAGCCACGGCCCCACTTTAGAGCTCTCCAGGGTCTCAGGCAGAGGTTTTTGCACCTCCTGCCTGGACCTCTTAACTGGAGATGCCGGGGATCGAACCTGGGACCTCCTGCATGCCAGGCAGAGGCTCTTCCACTGAGCCACAGCCCCTCTTGACAGCTCTCCGGGGTCTCAGGCTGGGGTCTTTCACATCATCTCCTGGGGTCTTTCAGGCTGGGGTCTTTCACATCACATACACCTCCAGTTTGGTGCACCTCCTGCCTGGTCCTTTTTAACTGGAGATGCCGGGGATTGAACCTGGGACCTCCTGCATGCCAGGCAGGGGCTCTTCCACTGAGCCACAGCCCCTCTTGACAACTCTCCAGGGTCTCAGGCTGGGGTCTTTCCCAGCACCTCCTGCCTGGTTCTTTTAACTGGAGATGCCGGGGACTGAACCTGGGACCTTCTGCATGCCAGGCAGAGGCTCTGCCACTGAGCCACGGCCCCTTCCCATAGCTCTCCAGGGTCTCAGGCAGAGGTCTTTCCCATCACCTCCTGCCTGGCCCTTTTCACTGGAGGTGCCGGGGATTGAACCTGGGACCTTCTGCATGCCAGGCAGAGGCTCT